GTGTGTCCTGGAATGTCCAGAGCAGATCTCCATACAGTTACCGCAGAGAGAGCCCGAGAGGGTAAGTTTTGGGGTTTCCTTGAATCTGCCAGGCCTGGGATGAGCCATTTCTGGAGGGAGATCCCGGTGCGTTTAACACGTAACGGACACGTGCAAGGTCTTCAGCACGGCTCGGGGGCTGAGCTTTCTGTCCCTGGAAAAGCAGGTGCAGTTCTCTTCTCCCACCTTCCGGGCCTTGAGTCCTCCCACCAGGGGGCGCTGTACCTGGACATTTAGGGCTGGGGTGGGAGTGAGCCAGAGGTTCCGAAATGGGTTTCTAGTTGATGTGCTGCATGTGTTTCATCGGATCTAAGAGGCTGGCAGGTATAAGCTGTATGACTGTGTGCTCATAGGAAGGAAATGAACAGGTGGTGGCAGTGACGATTTTGTCAGAATTGCCACCTGGCCGACCGAGATGGGAGAGATGCTCAAAGCTGCATCCTGATTTCAGAGATGTAAGGTTTGGGGGTGGAATGTGCATCTTACAATCGATTAAACAAAGCCATCATCTTAAATGTGGTTTTGTCTTCAAATTCACGTTTAAATATCGTTGTGTACATTAGTTACCTACAAACCTGCCCAACAAGCCCCCTGCACTTCAAGCTGCTTTGATCCCAGAGGATGCTGAACCAGCCTAGGGCCCAGCATTGAGTAGTGGGTCCTTATCCTGTATTGGGAACTGTGGTCAGCAGGTGGCGATGTGGGGAAAAGGAGTAACAGAGGTTCCTCTATGGCTGTGGTTCTCAACCTTCCTAATGCCGCGACCCTTTAATACAGTTCCTCATGTTGTGGTGACCCCCAACCATAAAATTATTTTCGTTGCTACTTCATAACTGTAATTTTGCTACTATTATGAATCGTCATGTAAATATCTGATATACACGATGTATTTTCATTGTTATAAATGGAACATAATTAAAGCATAGTGATTAATCACAAAAACAATATGTAATTATGTATGTGTTTTCCGATGGTCTTAGTGCCCCTGTGAAAGGGTCATTCGACCCCCAAAGGGGTCGCGACCCACAGGTTGAGAACCGCTGCGCTATGGACTTGAATCCTTCATCAGAAATCGGGTGAATCAGTTATGTTCATGTACATGACATGCTCAGAAAGTTAGACCAATTGTCTGCTCTGGTCAGACTATAATTTAAAGGCCATGAGGGTAGGTTAAAAGTCGAGGATATGTAGGAATCTATACAGGAATATTACTTCAAAATATATTTTTTATTGATTTCAGAGAGGAAGGATAAGGTATATAGAAACGTCAATAATGAGAATCATTGATTGGCTGCCTCCTGCACGCCCCCTACTGGGGATTGAGCCGCATCCTGGGCATGTACCCTTGGCCGAAATCAAACCTGAGACCCTTGAGTCCGCAGGCCTATGCTCTATCCACGGAGCGAAACCAGCTAGGGCTAAACAGGAATAATTCTTGATGTTGAGGGTGTTTTGGCATCCAAAAGAGGTAGAGCTCTAGCTATTTTGGCAGAGGTAGGTAATGTCATTATTTTCAAACTTATCCTCTCTCTCTCTCTGTCTCCTCCCCCATTTACACATTCTCTCTAAAGATCAATGGAAAAAATATCCTCCAGTGAGGATTTAAGAAAAAAAGGATTAGTGAATAGTTGAGGTCGACAGTTTTACTACAGAAACATACCGTTACGTGTTCCAAGGTCTTTGAACAGGAGCAGGAGTTAGTGTGTGTCACCAAGGTGTCAGGAAGCCTGTCATGAAAAGGGATGAGTAAGCCCAGCTGGTGCAGCTCAGTTGGTTGAGCCTCGTCCCCTGAACCTGGAGGTCACGGTTTGTTTCCTGGTCAAGGCAGGTGCCTGAGTTGCAGCTTGATTCCCAGGAGGGGACCTTCAGGAGGCAGCCAATCCATGATAGAAACATCATTGATCTTTCTATTTCTCTCTCCCTTCCTCTCTCTGAAATCAATAAAAACACTTTTAAAAAGGATGAGTACGAAAAGGCAGGTCCTAAATTAATAAACATCTTTTTTAATAATTTAACACATTGAAACTGAAAAATGTTTAACACATCAGCTCCTAGAGCAATATAGACTTCCCACGTGCTAAGTAAAGCATTGGCACAAGGTGCCACTGAATTAACTCAATGGAGTCGGAGCCTAAATGATTCACCGAGTCCTGATTCTGGTTGTGCCGTGGGCATTGTTTCCATCTCTCCTGGGCTGGACAGGATTCTGGTTTCCCGAGTATGGTTAGCGAATGTAGCGTCATTTGTTATTATTCAGTTCATTTATTTCGTGTTTTGTGTTGTTTTCCTTTTTTCCTTCTTCTCTTGGGTTATCTGCGGATAACAATGTAGCCGCTGGGCGCAGAAAGAACAAAAGGAAGAAGACAGACAAGTCACCAGCGGCCCGCCCGGCTTGGTGGAAGCGCCTTCAGTGCTGGTCATCCTCGGACATCCCACCCCCTTCTAAATAGGCTCTCCCTTTCCCAGACACTCGAGATTCCTTTCCCTTTACCAGCTCCTCACCAAATACCCTCCCTCATTTATGAAGAAAAAAAAAAAGGAAAACCACCAATGACCCGTACCAAAAGGCCAGAGGACCCATAGTGGCCCCTCCTCCTGACCCCAAAGCAGCTCCCGAGCCTTCAAACTACCAACGTGCCTCTGAGGACAACGGCCTCCTCTCCTGTCCTCCTGTGGGGCCCGGAGCGGCTGCAGAACGAGGAAAGGGCTTCCCGTGCTGCTTCCATTTGTCCCGTTAGTGGCAACGCTGCGCCAGCCCTAAGGGTCACCCCCCATATGTGGAACTCCTGTCTGACCCTCCAGCCACTGGAATCTTTTGAACAAATGCACTTTGGCCTGGGGATGCTCACAATGCAATGACAAACGGACATCCCAGAGGCTGCCACTATGTGAGCATGCCCCTTAGGACACGTGTTAGCTACTTCACCTCCATTTAAGCGTGCGTGTGCCTGTGCGTGTGCGGGTGAGCAGATACACGCACGCACACACTCTCTCAGGCTGGGCCTCGTGGTCCGGACACCTGACTCCCTCTCCCAGAAGCCTGGTGATCCCAGGAGAAGCCCAGACCAGCCAAACGACAAGACCTTGAGGTCCTGGTGGACCCTGGTGTCAGGCTCACTGTTAACCCAGAGCGTTGCCAAGTCAGGCCTGGGCCCCACGTCCTTCAGGCCAGGGCGGTCTTCCAGGCAGGTGGCCTCAGGCTTTGCCTCTCTCCAGCTGGCTCCTGGGCCACCTGCTCACTTTTCTGTAAACACTGTGTCTGCCCGGCCTGGGCGATGGGGCAAGAAAAGCCCTGCCCGCCCCCTCCCAGCAAGTGTCCACAGTGTGCAGAGGGGAGCGTGTGCGAGAGGCAGGTGCAGCCTGATTTGAAAGTGGCTGCAGCGCCCCAGTGTCCCCATCGAGCATGAGGCTTTATTATTCCTTGAGTGACTTCCTGGGGTAGAAACCAAATTTAATATATTACACACATGTGTTCACCCTCGTGAAATAGATGTGCTTTGAGGTGTCCCCCCAAATATATATACTACAGGGTGTCCCCCCAAATGTAAATACACTTTCACAGCTGATAACTGTTTTCACTCCATTTCAGGGTTAACGGATTTGACGTAATGGGTGAAGCCAGACTCAGCTTTGAACAAAGGAGATGTATCCTCTGGACTTGCTTCTGGGGACACACAAAGGATGAGGTGTCTGGTACAGAACGGGCCACAGTGCAGGCACCGAGGCCGCTGTGGAGAGAGGATGCGCACAGACAGAACGCAGTGGCTCTCGGTGTTTGCGATTCCATTGCATCCTCAGCAGCAGCGCCAGAACTGAGGCAAGCGATGGAGGCGCCAACACCAAGAACCATTCCTGCAGTGGGTGTGTGTGCATATCTCTCTCCATAGCTGCCCTGGATTCCTCACCGTTGTCTGTTGTCTGCCGTCGACTTTTATCTTTTATGTGTCCCCATAAAAAGCCTAGTGCAGAAATTTTCTTTATTCAAAGCTCAGTCTGGCTTCACCCATTTCTTCAAATGAGTTAAACTTAAAAAGGTGAAAATTCAGTGAATTGTCAGCTGTTAAAGTATGTGCACATTTTTTTGGAACTCTACCATCCGTTCCATTGGAGTCATTCTCTTCCACCAGAGTCGCACCTGTGTGTACATTTTGGGTGACGCCCTATATGTTCAAAAGGCAGCCATTCTATTCCTTCGTGAGTTGATTTATTATTTCTTTTCACTGTGTGCACATTTTTTGGACCACCCTATATTTACATTCCATAGGGAGTCATTCATGTTTATCGGAAGTCTGACCTCTGTGTACCATTCTTGGGGGACACTCCATGTTTATATTCCATAGAGAGTCATTCATGTTAATCAGGAGTCTGATCTGTGTACCATTCTTGGGGGACACTCCATGTTTATATTCCATACGGAGTTATTCATGTTTATCGGGAGTCCGACCTGTGTACCATTCTTGGGGGACACTCCATGTTTATATTCCATACGGAGTTATTCATGTTTATCGGGAGCCCGACCTGTGTACCATTCTGGGGGGACACTCCATGTTTATATTCCATACGGAGTTATTCATGTTTATCGGGAGCCCGACCTGTGTACCATTCTGGGGGGACACTCCATGTTTATATTCCATAGAGAGTCATTCATGTTAATTGGGAGTCTGACCTCTATGTACCTTTCTTGGGGGACACTCCATGTTTATGTTCCATACAGAGTCATTCATGTTTATCGGGAGTCTGACCTCG